TTTGCATTAATAAATTTTTTATCGTATAAAGATTGAATTATTTGTTTGATCCTGGGAACCGTGTCCAAATAAATGGGCCTGTTCAGTTTTGTGTAGTAGTTGGTGTCGTTCAATTGCCTATAACCCTCCCAAAGATATTGTGTTCTGTCCTGTATTACGATTGTGCTGCCTTTATCTGCCGGTTTGATAATAATGTTCTTGTTTTCTTTCAGTTCTTTGAGGGCTTGCACCTCCTGCAAGGTAAGGTTTGTTGTTTCGCGAAATGGTTTAAAATGTGTCCTAAAATGCTCTAAGTCCTGTTCAATTAATGAGATGATTGGCCTGGGTATTTTCTCCTCAGGCGGGGTCCAATCCGACTTTGGTGTGAAGGGAAGGGGATTTGTTTCTGTGCGATTTTTAAAGTAGGCCTCCAGTTTAAGCCGTCTGTGATACTGCTGCAGGTCCCACTGTGCCTGCATCACCTGGCGCCTCGCACCGCCGTTTAGCACCGGGATGAAGGTTAGGCCCCTGTCGAGTAAGGTAAGTTGTGCAGGGGAAGCATGAAAGGTTTTTGAGAGAATCAGGACATTCTCACTCCCCTCCTGCCACTGCAGGCTTTTGGGGAAATCTAGTTTAAAAACTGCAGCCAGTGGTTGAGCATGTCGTTTGCCGTTCCATCTGTCCAGTGTATGAGGTCACTGTCTGTGTTAAAGTTTGAACGGGGAAGGGCCGGAATGTGTTTAAGGTTGGCAATAATATAGTCATTTAGAATATTAAGCTGTGCCTGCTCCTGTTGTGGGAGTAAAGTTGAGTAATTGATCTCAGGTACCCAAATTTGCGCAAAGGGGAATTTTTGTTTTGCTGCCTTCAATGCTGGCTGTATATATTTATTGATAGTGTCCTTGGCACTCTGTGTTCGATTATTAATGCCAAAGGATAGTATGACATGTTCCACCCTCATTGAGGTGGCGGCCTTGCCGACAACGGCATCCACATGTTTGAATGAGGCCCCTGGGTAGCTTTCTATTTGGAGATTCCTGTTAGTAAAGGATTGGATTCTGGACAGGTTGGAATCCCCCAGAATCAGCCATTTCTTGTGTACGTCCAGACGCCATTCAATCTGCTTGCGGGATGTGTGTGGATGTATGTTGGGTTTAAGTCTCGGAGAGCGCTGTTGTTTACCGGACGACGATGCCACGATAGGTCCAATATTAAGCCGGGACTGGGTAGCCAGTCTCAGGCTAGTCACCTTTTCCGGGCTTAATGCTACTGTCTGTTGTGTACTAGGAGGACTGGGCAACTCATCATCCCCGCGCAAATCCACCAGGATCAGGTCCTGTTCCTGTGCTACACAGGAAGCAGCCTGCTCCCCCTGAGGTGAACCGCACGGGGTGAGTAGCTCCCGTGGGGGGTCCTCCATAATGTTTCTAAATGTTGGGGAGGCAGCCGCAGCCTCAAGTAAGAGGTCAAGGGGATCCTCTGAATCTGTTTCCCTATAGGGGGACCAACCAGGCCTCGGAACAGTCATGGTGGAGGCCGTTCTAGTTTCATTGACCCTGACTGGACTAACTGGGGAGGTTTGGGACTGTGCCTCTGCCGACCTATGGACTACAGCTTGGATTTCCCTCAGGTGAGTAGGTCTGACACCGGTGTGAGTGCTGGGGTGTGGGTCAACAGGAATCTGCGGCTCCACGCGCCTCTCCTCAGGGACAGCCGCAGGAACAGCAGCCTGCCACCGGCTCTGGAGCAACGCATGGGTTTCATGCAATGTTTTGTCCTTGAGTCTACTACCAATCTGTCCCTTTGCCCAGCTGATGGCAACTTTGAAGCAACCTTCCCAGCCCCGGGGGGAGAGTTGCTGCAGCTGAGACAGTTTTTCCTCCAACCTGTCTTCATAGTGTTGTCTAAGAATTAGCATGGTGGTGTAAGCCCAGTTCCTGGCATTTCCCTCCACCAGGGCCCTGGCCGTGGGGGTTGGCAGCGCAGGCCTGATGATTTCCGCCAGGAGATGCTGTAATTTAGTAATGGATGGAGGTTGGTCCTTCCGTACATTGTTTTTATGATGCACTAATCTAATGATGTTGAAGATGGCCCGAGTTGTACACAACAACTCCGGGTCCTCCTCATATTCGGGCTTATTGCTTTGTTTCTTGTTGTTACTGAATGGTTTTTTGTTTTTCAGGGTGCTGAACCCTGAGGGCTGGTGCCATGCACCACCCCTGGGGCCTGTTCTAGGCGCATTTGGAAAGGAAGTCGGTTTTGCGGGCCCCCATTGGGCCCGCGGTTCAAAAAATTGTGGTCTGGTAGACCATTGATGAGAACTATTACGGTAGGTGGGACGTGGTCCTCTATATATGTTGTTCTTGACCACGTCCGCATAAGTGAAGACATCTTGTCTACGTGTAGGAAAATCCTGATACTGGCCTGGACGGGGAGCAGGCCGGCCCCCGCCCTGCATGGCGGGCCCGCGTCTGCGCGCGACCACCGTCCAGCCATCCCACTGCGGGGTTGCCATTATCAG